ATATATATATATATATGTTTTTTTAATTGATCAGCCAATTAACCGGTTATCTGACTTTTATTCTATCAAATTTTGGAATCAGCATCAGTCTAAAAAATATCCATTGGGCCTTAGTTCTAAAATAATCTCTTCATTGCCATTCCTGATGCATTCCATTGCATAAGCGCCTGTAATTTGTCAACTTTAACTTGAAAAATGATGTCATTGTATTAGCCAGTATTTTGGAGCCACGGGCAAGCCATTTGTGGCCACCTGTACTACACATACAATACTCTAGGACTGCTGCATGAGAACAAATCTACACATTGCTACAAACTCCTATTATGTGCATCCACAGGACTCCACAATCATGTCAGGCACGTCGGTTTTGATGATACTGTGCTGAGAGTTGAAGTACACCATGGACAGAGGCTGCCGTTCCGTGGGGACGCAACACGAAGACGCGGCCGTGTTAATACCGTTGACCTTCAGCTGGCTCAAGACGGTGGCATGGAAGGACGAGGCGATACCGGGAGATCCGGCCAGATGCTGGGGGCACTGCCCCACGCAATAGTTCATGTGGTAGCCCTCAGGTGCGATGATCCAGTCGTGCCACTGGATGTCCTTAAACTTGATGTACAATTCTTTCTTGCAGCACACGGTGATGTCGTCGCCACACCGCAAGGAGCGTTTTCTGAGCAAGTGCTTGGCGGGGTTGTCGCGGGGACGCACCTGGGCCATCAGGAAGGGCTGATACGAGGTCTTGGGAGAGTTTTCCAGGGAGCAAAGATTTTTCCCATCCTCGTCGCAGCGCACCTCCAGATGGAGTCGCTTCTGACCGCCATCCAGGAAGGTCTGGAGGGTGCGGCTGATGGGGAAGGTGTGCCAGTTACTCTCCTGGACCTCCAGCATCTTTTCTATAACTAAGGTCCGGTTCGACTCTCCACCGTCTGCCGTGAGGAAGACTTGCGCTGGGACTTGGTCGGGCGACTTGGAGGAGCGGACGTAGATCCAAAGGGAGGACTGCAGCACCTGGAGGCTGCGACCATGTTCTTGAAGGAACTGGAAGGTAAGGCTGAGATTTGCTTCATCCCCATTCCCACTTTCATCTGGGGGTCAAACACAGTCGACACGCAAAGTCAGGAAATGTCAATGAACCACAATGAACCATACTGTATGTATCTCGGGCCGCTTACATCTGATACGGCATTCAAGCTTGGGATACAATATAGAAAGATTACCATCAGTGTCAACACCATCTATTAGTCTTTGTGTGATTCATGTTTAATATGTTTATCCAAATACTGTAACTATTCATCTGTACGTCAATCACTGTTGTCTTGTAATTGTTTGCCCATGCGCCCTTCCGTTTATCTGTGATGCCATCCATCCATCTGCCCGTCTCAATGTCTGTCGATGTCACCTTCTCGTTGTCTGTTCATTTGTCCTGTTCATCATCTCTGATCCTAGCTTTTTGTTTGTCGATGTATCCATCTAGCTGTCCGTCCATCTTTCATGTCTTTTGTCTGACCAACATTCTTTCCATACGGTCCGCTCTGCCATCAGTCTGTCTGTCCATCCATTTGTCCCTCTGTGATGCCTTCTGTTTATCAGTTGCATCCGCAGCAGTGGTTCACAAACTTTTTACGCCAAGTGCCACCTCACAACATACTTGGTTGATTCTACAAGTACCATCATAATGACCAACAATAAAATGGTGTTGTACAGGCGGCCCAATTGTTCATCAAAAGGAGTGAGAGGTTTTATTCTTTAAACTTGCATTCAATGTTATTGTAAGCTACTGTCACGTTATGCACAGTTTGAACAGTAACACTGCTCTCATGTAAAGGCACAAAAAAAAACCTGTATTTCATGAATCTGTGAAAAGGTAACAAAATGTTTGTAAACGGTTATAAAATATTAAATCCAGATGTACGTAAAAGTTCAATACCACCGACTGTACTAAACAATTGAATTCAAGAAGAAAAAGTTCAAGCAACATAAAGTATTACATACCATTTAATGATGCGCATCTTTCAAATTTAATTCAGTAATACAATTCATCTTTCTGTTTTTTTTTGGGGGGGGGCGGTACTGGATCTCAGTTCGGCTGTCTGTCCATCTATCCATCTAAGCTTCCTTAAAAGTGTGTTATTACCCATCCATGATTGCTTCCGGCTATCTGTCTGTCCTTCCATCATCCACCTGCCCCTCTGTTTTTCTGTTGGTCCAACTGTGATACCTTGTAATTACATATCTAGCATCCAAAAACTATCTGAGAGTCATAAATACACACCCACGAGCTGGCCGTCCATCCGCCCATCAATCCATGCATCCAGTCTTCTACCCATCTGTAGATTAATCCATCCATCCATTTATCAAATACGTCCCCTGCTTGCGTTCATGTTTGGGTCAAAGCTGTTAACTTGTCATTTTGTGAGTATGGTATGCTGGCTGAGAGAAAAGCGATATAAATCATAGACTTAACAGTTGCTCTTTTGTAATAGAACTGCAGAGTTAACAGACACCAGCCAATTAAAATGCTGGTAGGCTATTATCATGACACCGATGACTTGAAAAGTCGTGAGACAATTTATGCTGCACTTTCACCTAATTTCCTCACCACCTGAACAGACAAATAGGCACAAAGGAATTATTATGAGCCATCGTTTTTTTTGCGGAATGGTACATGTCAGACTGTCACGTAAAAGTTCTTTTTTTTTTTTAATTATATCAAGATCACATAGCACACTTACTTATATCGGCAAAGCTGACTATTTCATAGCCTTGGTCTTTGGATAGCGCATTGTTGTCTAGTTCGAGGGTACCGTCCTGCTTGACGCGCCCGGAGTGCAATTTGCGCAGCGCAGTGAGCAGCGCCGCACGGGGCACAGTCTGAGAGATCCTGGGTCTCTCTTTCAGGTGCAGCTTGTCCAAAAGTTGCTGCTTGGCGATCTCCACCATCAGCCTCTCCTCCGCGTCCCTCCCCAGGGACCGGGAGCCGCAGGACGCGCAACCCGGAGGGCTACCGCTTACCCAGAGACCCCCCGAAAGCAACGGGACCAAAAATAGAAATGTGCGTAATGAAGGCTGCGCCATTTCACTGTCAAATCAACCTGTGCGTTAAAATGAAGAATAGAAGAAAAAAATAAGTCTTCTTATGTTTTAAATTGGAGGTCCTGGTCTGCAGCTGGAGAGTTGCGTGATGCCTCGGTGTCCTGATGGTGAAGATATCTAATGTGGGGTAATCCACCAAAAGTGGTGACACGTTGGAGGGACGCACCAATAAGCGCACCGGGGCACCGTGTGAGGAACTTTGCTGGCAGCGCATCTGCAGACGTTAGCACGTACTCATAAGCGGACATGCGGGAAAGGCAATGTGGTGGTCTGATTGGCGCTGACCCGAGAACATACAGGGACAACTACGAGCGTGTGCGTCCGGTTTGGGGAAAGTACACAGTGCAAGAGTTGCCCCTCACACGTGGGGTGAACAGCCCTCACTTCAATGCGCAGAAAACGTGACATCACCTCAGGCGGCCAAAGTTGAATTGAGGTGCCCTTTCACCCACTTTCAGCTCGGCATGTCAGGTGGACGTCATCCATACGTCTCTAATCATACACGGCAAAATTGAATGCCATTTAGTGGTTTATATTCTCACAAATTTTGTCCACGTTTAGCCGTATATGCTAAATTGTTCAATTGTTGTACGATATCAGGTGCATTTAAGTCGTTAGAAAACGTACCAAAACTAAATAAATCATCTTTCCTGCTTGTGGAAGCTTTCTGCATGCTTTTACATTTTAAAAAAATGCACATTTTAGCATATTTTATTACAATAATATGTCTGTGATGCACATTCTCATAAAAAAAAAAAAAAAACGTTCGTTTTTGCTGAAAGTATGGTTAAAAAGTGCGGTGGTATTACATCGTTTTAAATACTGTATTCGTGCCCAGTACAACTGTTGATGAAGACATGAGTGTAGTGCATGACTGCCAATGTGTGGAGTATCTTTGTAACTACAACATTTCGTTTCAGTCAGGCAGGGAAGGTCCATTTTTAATTTGTAATGTTTCATTTCGTTTGTGAAAACACTGCGCCGCACGTAAACATACAAGCTTTTCAAGACCACTGTGGTGGAGTTACCATGTAAAAGCTTACTCTTAGCAATAAACATTCAGTATAAATGAGCCTTTCAAGGACTGTTTCTCAAACTTTTTTACAACCAAGTACTGTCTCAAGAAAATCTTGGATCTCAAATACCAATATGACCAACATAAAAATACATTGGCATAGGAGGCCTAAATCCTTCCATCCATTCATTTTATAATCCGTTTATCCTCACAAGGGTCGCATCCCAGCCGTCTTCGGGCAGTCTGTGGGGGACACCCTGATCTGGGAAAAAAAGCTCATTATATTGGGGAAAAAAAGCACATTATTGCATTTGTGTATGTAAGAACACTAGCGACAAAGGAATAGGCTTCACCGGTCATTTTAATGTAATGTGTTCTTATTGGCTCAGCGGCAAAAAGCTTCATGGTCACCGTAGTTCACAATGCTGTGTTCATCTGAAACAGGCCAAAAGTAATGTCTTTTGACAGAAATGTGCCGCTTTTAGTATCGCAACATGATGGTGACGATATCGTGGCAATTTTAGTATTGCAATATCGCCGTTATCGTGACATTCCTCCTTGCGATACAAGCAAAATCTGAGACGCAAGTGCGTTTCAGACTCCAACCACCAGAAGGTGGCAGCAAACATCACAACATCCAGCCACCATTAATGGACTCTATGCACGCACCATTTCCACGTTTGGAGCGCTACGGCGGGATAGTTTCCGGTTGCCACGCAAACTTTGAGCGAAAACAATGACAGCATCAAACTCTTCAAAATATAGTCATTGTCTACCGGAATGACGTCAAGTTACCAAAAATGATGTATACCTTTCGAATTGCTCCAGCGTGTACACAAACTTGCACACGTTTTAAGATGGTTACATCAAGTTTGTTTATAATCCACAAAATAAATGACTATGCCAAAGTACTCTCCAGAAAGAGTGAATGAAAGAGAATAATAAGTCTTTAATGTCAACATATCGTGCAGATGCGGCAAAACTGAGGTTATGAAAATGTAGACAATCAAAAATACAATAAAAATGCCAAGCATACTATTCACTGCCAGAATGAGGATGTTGATGTCTTCTTGATCCCAGTGACTGCAGCTTCATGAGAGGAACCGCAGACACCAGTGCCTCGCTCGCTGGGCACCGAATGGAGACGGGGAGAGAGATAAAGACAGAGGGATGGACCTTAAACACGCCACCCATTCGTTGTTTCATTGTGAAATTGTTTCGCAAATGTAAAAGCAGTCTTTCCTCTTTGTTGTAGTAGCGGCTCACTGTAAACGAGTTTAACTAAAAAGCTCAGTTGATGACCACAAATGCCTGTTTGTATATGTATAGGGACAACAACAACATCTTTGTGAGTGCAGAAGAGCGCAATACTGGGGACAGTGAAGATCCTATGCAGAGCCCTCAAGATCCCAGTCATGAAGGAGATACCGCCCAGGTGGGCAAGGAAACGGAACAGCAAGGTCAATTCCTTTGTTTTTGTTGGATACTGAAGACATATGGAATTCAGATCAAAAGACGTACAGAACACAAAAGTTTTAAATCAATGCTTTTATTTCATGGTATTTACATCTAGATGTGTTAACTCAGGACGGAGTACCTTTTTTTTTTAAGCCACCCTCTTTTCAAGCGAGCAAAAGTATTGGAACATGAGATGGATGGGTGTTTCTAGTTGCTCAGATGTTGCCTTTGAGATTGATTGCTTAAACATTAGAGAGTACTTGTTTTTGCTTTGAGTTTCTTCTGTGAAAACTAGATTTACTGTCAAGCAAACATGAAAACCAAAGAGCCGCCTATGGGAGAAAAGCAAACCTTTTTGAAATTGAGAGAAGAGGGAATATCAATCAGAGCTATAGCACAAACATTGGGCATAGCCGTAGTCAACGTAACAATTTGGAATGTCCTGAAAAGAAAGAAATCTGGTGCTCTTAACGACAGACGGTAGCTGATGATATACAGAAACATTGTGAGAACTGTTGTCAAAACACCCAAAGATGTCAGTGACATCATTGCCAACCTCCACAGGACAGGTTTGTAGGTATCATAAGCCACTGTTCAAAGAAGACGTTGAGAGGAGAAACATACAGGCCATACCACAAATGCAAATCGCTCATCTGCAAAAAAAATAAATAAAAAAATTGGAAGGGCAGATTGGATTTTCCAAAGAAGTACAGAGATAAGCCACAAAAGCGTTGGAACAAAGTTTTGCGGACTGATGAGACTAAAATTAACTTCTATTGAAGTGAAGGAAAGGCCAATGTATGGAGACGGAAAGCTCCAGGTAAAACTTTTAATCCAAACACACACAAGTTCATCTATCAAGCATAGAGCAAGTAATGTCATGGCTTGGGGCTTCCATGACTTCTTCTGGAGCAGTCACATTTGTCTTTATTGATGATATAACTCATATTGGTAGCAGCAGAAGTATTTCTGAAATCTATTAAATCACTCTGTCTGGCAATTTACAGATAAAGAGAACCAAAATAATCTGCAAAAGGTTCATTATGCACCAAGACAATGACCCAAAACACACTGCCAACTCCCAAGGTTTTATATTGGCCAAGTCAATCACCTCCTGTCAAGCTCCTGAAAAGGAGACTGAAGGGAGAACACCTCCCCCCCCCAAAAAAAAACAAAACAAGAACTGAAAGAGGCTGCAGTAAACTCCTGAAAAAGCATTTCAAATGAAGGATGCAACAGTGTGGTGAAATCAATGGCTTGCAGGCTTGATGCGATGACTGCAAATAAGCGTTACGACACCAAATATGACATGTTATTCACTTGAAATTAATATAATAATGTCCATTCCAATACTTTTGCTCACTTGAAAAGTGGGTGGCTTCGAACAAAAGTTGCTCTGCCCTGAGTTGTTTAACACATCTCGATGGAAATACCGTGAAAAAAAAGCTAGGCTGATGAAATTTTGTCTCATGTTCATCTTTTGATCTCAAACCCAAAGATTAAAAAAAAAAAAAAAAGGACTTGAGCTTGCTGCCATGACGAACATGCTACCTGGTAACTGATTAAAATGTAATGAATCATGTCTATGGTAACAATGGTAAAGAGAGGTAAATAATCATCAACACTTTTTTGTAAATTTTTTGTTGTGTACATTTTATTTTGGATTTTTTTAAAATAAAATTTGTGGACTTGTGAAATTGTTGGACGTCCAGTTTGAATTAAAGCACACCCCATAATGCACCAGAGCACTTCACTGGCGGAAACTGTGAGTCAGCCCTTGCTGCAGAGCTCAGATTGAGGAGTGACTGAACCTACATGTTTGACTCCGCCCACATACACTCAAATTTTGCACAAATGACCCAAAATGTCCTCATAATATGGTTCAGGGGTAGCGTTTTTTACAGTTACACTTTTTTACACACACTTTTTTTTAATGATGCAAAAATCTCAAATACTTTGCTCCCTGTGGCAGCAAGCTGTTGTGTGTGGTGTTGTGAAACCACCTTACACACACTCATCTTCCAATCACAATTCTAACTGCAGCCACCTAGATTTCTGATTGACATGGGAAAAAAAGACACGTTTCCATGGATGCTTTTTTGTGTCAAAAAAACTTCATTAGAAAATCAACAAAAGGAAAAACATCTGAAAAATATTATTTTTGAAGGAGACTCTTTTTCAGCTAGTCTCTCCACTCATCATTTCAATTTAAAGTGCAATAAGAACTTATGTTTGTTTGGACTGTGATTGATTCATAATGAATTATATTATCACTTACATTTATATTATACTGTATTTATTTTCAACCAATTGAAATTGAAACTAAAATTGAATATATCAGAAAAATTCGGAACGGATTGATTGCAATCCCATTAATCGCAATGGGTAAAGTTACCTCGATTTATGAACTTTCTTCATCCAAAAAAATTCTATGTGGAGGACATATTTTGACTAGGCACTCAGAACCAACGTCAATAGCTCGTTTTCTGGGCCCGGCAACACACTGAACGTGCTTCCGTGGCTTTCCGACAATGTTCACCCTCAATGGACGTTTGAACCACTTCCGGAGTCAAACGTTTAGCTCCACCCACAT